ATGTTAGATGCTCAAARATTTCCACCCCCATCTGTCATGCCAAGAAACAGTGAGATGTTGCCAATAGGTAATAAATAAATGTTGGAACAAACAAGTTCATAATGTGACAGAATCATGATTTCACCTGGAAAAATTTCTTGCTTGAAATGGCAGAATAATGACTTTGGCTGGACTGAGCAGTGGACGCTTGTGAAATGTTCTGCTTTGCTGATCTAAAGCTTTGCTTGTAGCACTCTTACACAAAAGGGAAAACACTTTTGGGGTTACAGGTGATTTTTATTCTCTTATAGGGACTCCTTAAAGTAGCTGTGTAAAACTCAATGTCATCGAGGGCCACGTGAGCATTACGGTGGCCTTCAAAGGGCCTGCTGTAATTAATTATGCCTAAAAACACCAAACGTTATGTTCCTTGTCTCACTGCTGCAGCTGAGCACCTGTAACAAACAATAACTGAGCTCTAAGTGGTATTTTGTGCATAGAAATAGTGTCTTAATATGTCTKCTTGTAAACACTGAAGTAGCATCTGTAGTGAAAATGCAGCAAATTGGAGATTTTGCATAGCGTATTTTAGAGCTSGGGGGTATGGCCCAAATTTTATATCACGATATTTTTAAATATTACACCGGTTTCACGGTATTTAATGTTTTTTTTCATCACATCTCAGCTGATAATAAAATGTACAAATGTTGCTTATTGATTTTTTTTCTCTTACTGTACCTCTGTGTCGCTGTTTCCCTCCTCTTGTACGTCTTTTCTTCTTTGCCTGGTTGTTGACAGTAATCATCATGAAGGGTTGAGAAAAGATCATTATTGGGTCTATTGTTATGTGTTAATAAAACTTAAAAGGATGACTCACCTTGCACACCAGTCAAATGAGCTCTACTACAAAACTACTTACCCCAGGCTTTTCACAGTAGAAGCATGTTAAAGCCTCCATGCATCTCCACGTCTCCATTATAACGTTGAGCGTTAAATCTAACCGTGCATATCACTGAAGAGTTGTTTACTAAATTCAGAGACGGTGAAAACGGGATGTTTTTATTTTATTTTTTAACATCAGGCCATATAAGCAGCTGAAACACCACCCGCCGCCAGTTACTCCAACAAGCTACTCCAACAATAACATTCGCATGCTAATGCACATAGTGGTGCTGCGAGGAAAAGTGTCCCCCGGGAAACAGTTCACTGGCCGCTGCCACATGTTCAAGCTATTTAAACCGGCATGTCCAGTATTCAGAAAATTCATATCATAACAAAAATGAAAAACGGTTTTCGGTACAAAACGGTATACCACCAAGCACTAGTTTATTTCACCGGCCACTTTTGAACATGTGCACCTCAACCTAGTGRTGGGAAGCTGTCAATTCACGGGGAAAATATTCGACATGCATTATAGGACGTGTAGTTTATGGTCAATGCTGGCTTTAAAGAAGCATACTAATGCATCTTTGAAGCTCTTGCGGGTCACATAAAAGACTATGGTGAACCACATTTGGCACCAGGCCTTGAGWTTGACACCTGTGCCTTAAAGTGAACTTTTTTTCTGGTGAGTTTAGTTTGTACAGCTTCCTCCTCCTCCTCTGATGACTGCTGCTCCATGTCATGTTGCAGAAACCAAAAAAAAGAACTAGAAGATTTATTTATTTTACAAGATTTCTGTCATTCTACAGACTTGTAAGTCATTTTCCTAGGCTTTAAAATGAATATGTTACAGATATTTGTAAAGAAATTTTGGAGTTCTTTTTAAAGGATGTATAACGAGGCAATAAAAGCAAAACATATTGAGTAGATGAGAATGTTGCAGTGTTATTTGGTGTTGAAGGAAACATTGTTTGAATCTTGCTGCGGTCTCTCTGTAAGCCTGTGGTTTGGGTTTTAGTTCTGGTTTGATTATTTTTCGGCCGAATGATTGACAGTTCTCATCATTTACACTTTGATGGCGCTGCTGATTCAAAGCTGGATTAACCTCATAGTAGTAAGGTCATTAAACAACAATGAGTCAGTTTTTTTCATTGTTGATATAAAGTATATTACCTCTAAGAGCTTTCATCTTTGAATGAAAACGTTGTGTAACAGAACCATGGGCAGTTAACTGGCCTTTACACAGTTTCCTTTTTGTTCAGCAGGGTTGTGGCTACCGTCTAGTAACAATCACAACTCAAATGCAGTGGAAAACTAAGGCGTAATAAAAATTATTGTTCACGTAACGCTTGTAATCTGAAAATTGTAAACATTTGCTCCATTTTATGAAAAATCCTCTGTGTGTTTATGATTGGCAGGCAGCTTTCAATGGCCTAATAGTATTAGTGTTTCATTCATAATGGGCTGTATCCCAGGGTCTGAACGATTGGGCTTGCGCTGGTACAGACATATTATTAAATCTATAATCGTGGCCGACAAAGTTAATCCTTCTTGCTAATGCATTCATTAGTTGGAATCGCAGCTTGAATTTATTGCAACATTCAGCGCAATTCTGAGCTTAAAAGTCTTCAGTGTTGCAAGAAGTGGTGCTTTGAAAGTTTTATTTTTACAGTTTATGTCCTTTTAATTAGTGAAAGTGTTTACTTTATCAGACATTCTAATGAATATGCATCTGTGAATATTACATAACTTGTTCAAATATCCATCTAAATGTCTGCTCAAATGTGTGTTGTTCTCTGTTTTATGCAGTGTAACCCTGCATTTTTCAAAATCTTGGATCACTTTTTTTTAAAGAATTGAGCAGTATGTTTGGCTGCAAGGTGTTTATCCATAGCAAGACACAAAGCCACCCTTGATTCATGCTTTTTTATTTTTAGTCATGAGAAGTTCTCATATCTTTTTCATGAGCTCATAGCAAAGTTGTCCTATATCTGTAGGGAATGAGATCATGAATATTATGTTAACCTAGAAAAGTTGAAATCCATGCATGCTTTCTTGTTCCCCTGATCCTTTAGCTTTTGTTGTTGCATTGGCCAATTGTAGCCAGGAAGAGATCAAGGGGACCCCTGTCGATTGTGGATTATTCCTTTGTAAATGTGCCACTGTAGGGGATACAGGATTATAAGAGCAGCAAGAGAAAAGGGATTGTACAGGAAGTTCGTTTACAACAAATGCAACACAGTGATTCTTAACATGAAGTGTTTTCTGGTTAATAATCTGCCTATTATTATTATT